AGAAGTGCTTACAGTATGCTCATTTATAAAAGCAGGGACATAGATTTTCTCATGTGAGTGTGTTACAAGATTACCTAATGTTCAGAGTAACCAGGAAGCAATGTGGGGTATTTGTTTTCAGGTATTTATTTAAAAGAATTGTACCCACTAGTGGGAATTCTACTAACAGAGATTCCTTTATTTTGCTTGTATTTCATTATCTTTCAACACTGCTATTATCTCTTTAAAAATGCTAAAGTTTGACTGACTGTGCTATAATTATAACATTATTGGAGATAAGATATTCTCAGACTATTTCCATTTGAAATTAGAAGAACCATTATGTTGTCCATGTATCATTTGTCACTAACAATATCATTGTGACCAAAGAAGTAGGTGTGTGTGAGTATATATGTATGTGTGTGTGTGTGTGTGTGTGTGTGTGTGTCTAGAACATAACTTCTTTCAACCAATCCAACATTGGTTTGTCCCTTTAATAATGAAACAGGTACCTGTTTTTACTGAACTTGTATTCAATTTCACCTGGTTGAACTTCATGAATTTTCTACTGATTTAACTCCTTATCTTCTGCTTACTTAACATGACCCTGGGAGAGTTACTCACTCTCTACACCAATCCCTCTCATCAAATGGGGAAAATATTTTAATATATATTTTTATTGTAAAGATACTATACAGAGGGATTATAGTTACGTGAGTAGGGTAATGAGTAACTTTTCTATTGAGCATTGTTACCCTCTCATTCGTTTTTCCCTAACATCCCTTCCCTCTCCACCCCCATAACTTATCCCTCTCCCCTCCCAAGTTGTAAAGTTCATTTTCAACATAGTGTCTTGTACATCTCATTGTTAAAATGGGTCAACCTGTATCTTTGTTTCAACATATCATTGTTTTCCTTCCCTTCCTCAAATTAGAAAAATGTGTAAACAAGATGCAGCATACCAGAATCAAATATAGTGAAAACAGGGTTTATACCATGGAGGAAGAACATATAAAAGAGACCAAAAAATCACATGTTACATTATAAGTACATTAAAAACAACAGCAAGAAAGATAAAACCTCTTGTGTCCATATCTTGGGGTTCATTTCATCTTATATGGTCATATCTACATAACTTTTGACCTTTTCTGTTTGCCTAGATGTATACTTGTTATTGCAAATAAGGGAAACAATGGGATCTATGTTTCTTTTGGTCTGGCTCACTTCACTTAATATGATTTTTTCCAAGTCTTTCCATTTCCTAACAAATGGGGCACTGTCATTTTTTCTGATCAAGACCTAGAATTCCATTATATATATAGATATATCTCTATCTATCTATCTATCTATCTATCTATCTATCTATCTATCTATCTATATCACATTTTCTTGATCCATTCATCTACTGAGGGGCATCTGGGTTAGCTATGGTGAATAATGCTGCAATAAACATAGTTGTGGTGGTAGCTTTAGTGTGGTCTTGTTTGTGATCATTTGGGTAAATGCCCAAAAGTGGGATTGCTGGGTCATAGGGGAGCTCTATGTGGAGTCTTCTGAGGACCCTCCATAATACTTTTCAAAGTGGTTGAACAAGTTTACACTCGCACCACCAATGCAGTAGGGTTTCCTTTTAGCCACATCCCCTCCAGCATCTGTTGTTACTAGATTTCTTGATTTTAGCCATTCTAACTGGGGTAAGGGGAAAATAATTTTTTAAATTATGGGAGTTGTTGGGAGAATATAATGAAATACTACACCTAAATTCATTAATAAAGTGCTTGGCACAGAATAAACAGGCAGAAAATGTTGGCTGCTATTTTTATTATTTGAGGGATCTGTCATGATGCCTTTGTTGTAATTCATGTAAATTAGTGCCATGTTTGTGCTACACAGCCAGACCTTTGAAAAGAAGCCAATTGATCCTATACTTTTGCAAGTGTAGGAGGCCATGAAAATTGATTCATTTCTTTTATTTCATGTTCATCTCTTCTACTTGAGGTATTTCGACAGTTGATTTCAAAGTGCTGCTCACAGATGGGTGTAGGACTATGGACTATATGACTCTGCATGTTTCATCCTAAGCAAAAGGACGAAATGAAAATATATTGAAAGGCATCAGAATTGGGAGAAAGAGGCATGGATGCACCTGGTCTTTAACACAGGCTTTACCACTAAAAGGATCCCAGATACTAGGAAGCCAGGTTTCCCTGAGGCTGGGGGGAAGGAGGGGCAACAATCTCTGTAACTACTTCTAAAAGAGCAAGGAGTAAGTCTTAACTGAATGTACTCCTTTGATTTCTTATTCTGTCAGATCCTGGGGACAGTGTCTCGAGTTGTTGGAGTTCAGGACATTCAGTTTTCATGGCCTCCGGATGATTTGTGACTAAACATAAATGGAGCTTTTGAAAAAAACATAAAATCAAAAAGGATGAGCAAAGACTATGAAAAGACCCACATTTTAAAAAAGGAGCATAGAGGCCTTTACTGGAGTGCATTTGTATTCTCTGCCTCTTGCTGGGTTGGTATTTTCTCTGAAGTGGTAAACAATAGTAATAATGATAAATGTCTTACATTTCTTTAGAGATTTTTGTCGATTGCCAGTGAATAAAAGGTGGAAGTTTTTGGTTAATGAGCTTCCAACAGTGTTTTTTGTTACTTTATATTAAACCATAGTAATTAAACTTTCCTTTTCATATTTCTTCATAATGACTTCCAAGATTCCTCCATTGCTGGTTTTTATAGGGTCATGATAAATTAATTGGAAAAGCATTTCATACAGTGTGGCCTATTCCTTTCAAGCAAGCAAATAAATTACTGTGATTTGCCCAAATTTTAAAGTTGGCTTTAAAATGTTATTTTTTGAACTTTGGTTGTTGGAAATTAGACTGTGGAAATCCTAACTCTCTAATATTGGGAATTTTGATGAAACAAGTGGACTTATCATAAATAAAAGGTGAATTGCATGTGTGCTTGTTTGTATATATGCTTGTATGTGTGTGTACTTGTGTGTGTGTGTGTGTATGTGTGTGTGCATGTTTTCTGACTCTACAAGAGTCAAATACAACATATAGATTGACATAAGAAGAAGGGGAACATTTAGCAAACACTTATCATATACCAGAGTTAAGGCTGGTGTTTTTATCCCCATCATTAAAAATGGGAAAATAAAACTTACAATGAGGTCAAATGACTAATGAGTGTCAAGGCTCATCATATTCAAGTCAGTTGTTTTGGTACTACAACATGTTCATCATCTAAGCTACCCTATTTACTTTTGCCTGTTTTAGGAAAGTTGGAGTTAGCTGTTGTATCTGGCTCCTTACTTGCCAGGAAACTGATAGAGAATTCTTAGTAAAAGAGGATTTGAAATGAGAGCTTGTTAATCGTTCATCCCCCATTTTTTAAATTGTATGTTATCCTAGAATACAGTGTGGTATTGAGTTTGGGACATGAGAGAAGCTCTCTCAGTTGGTTTCCATAGCGAGGAATTAGATGCATGGTTTGTATGTTCATTTGGCATGAGAAAGATCTGAACTCTTCACTCCAAACTTTTGCCTACTGACAAAATTTTATGTCTGGATAACCATGTGGGAAGGCAGTAGTGAGAATGAGAGAAAAATCTATGTCACAATCAGCCTCAAAGAATGCCTAATTTGTTATTATGTGAGGCTAATTATTCTCAGTTTTCAAGACTTTTAGAATAATAATATCGGTTTGGTCACTATTAATTTTTCTAGACATCTGCTTCCTTACTTTGGCATCTGTTGCTTAATTTCAATTTCACTCTAGTTTCCATAAGGCCAAGGTCCTTGTGACATATGTTATCTTTTATTGGTTTTAGGTTCTTATTTTAAGCAATTACAACATGGAGGATTTTTTTCTTCAAATCTGAAGTATGAAGGCATATGTGAGAATTTTCTTTATTCTTGCAGAAGTTAATGAGTCTGTTGGTGTTTATATGAATCTTATAGGGTTATAGGAATGCTGTGGGTTTAAAAATTCTGTAATAATTCCAACTAAGAGAAATTATGTGCAACAGTTCTTCAGGTATGAAGTGTTATGACAGTTCTTTCATTTCCTGTAAGTTATGTACAAATTCCATCTTGTTTGGTTCATGTGTGTATATTAGAGCATTTCCATCTTGTTTTGTGTGTGTGTGTGTATATGTGTGTCTATTAGAGCATTTCTAATAAACTTGACAGATCCATTCCTAAGTCAGTTTATAAACGCCAATGGCTGCATATGGCTATAAAACATATGCATCAACTAAATATAGTACCATATAGCAGTGCTTACTAATTTTTAATGTATAATATTTGTACTCATATTAAGAGGTTAATGGTGAGAAAAAAGTCCCTACACCAAGCAGATTGAGATGTTGGAGATTATCTGTGCTATTTTATATAATATTTGCAACTCCACACATCCATACACTGTCCTATTAGTTACAAAAGAAGGGCACAGCCTTGTACAGTCCATAAAGTGGAACCCAATGGAAATTCCAGCAGCCACAACTTTCATTCATTGGATTTCCAGCTCTTTCTTCATTCTTTTCCAGCTTCACAGTTGGAACATATTTGCACATATCCTTGTTACCTTCTCTGTTTGGCCAGTCTGTGCTATCTGATGCCATAATAGACTGCTTTGATTTTATTTAGAAAGTAAAAGGGATTTCAAAATTCTATCCCAGGGGCTAGCAAGTTGGCTCAGTGGCAGAGTGCATGTCTTGCATGCTTGGGGCCCTGGGTTCAATTCCTCACCACAACACAAGCAGAAAAAAGCTGGAAGTGAGCTCAAGTGGTAGGGTGCTAGCCTTGAGCTGAAGAGTTGAGGGACAGCGCCCATCCCAGAGCTTAGCCCCCATGACCGACCAAAAAAAAAATTCTAGCCCATAGACTTCTTTATCCACAGGTAAAAATGTGGGCCTAGAAGGAGATTTTCATGCATACTTATGTCACATGTTTTCTTTATAATTGCATATTTTTCTTATTTTTGTCTTTTAAATAAATTCAATGACACAGGTATTCCTGGAGAACATCAGAATGGTCAGAATGCCAAGTCTCTCTCCTCCTCAAGCAGCAAGACCCTCATTGGCATGAAACAGGACCGGTGTGTGGCGGTGGGATCCAAACCCGGGAAGTGTACTGTGCAGAGAGTCTCCCAACAACCACCACACAAAGGACCAAGGAAGGTAATGCAGCTGGTTCTGAAACAGATGGGGCTGGTGGTTGGAAGAGAAATCAACTCCAACACTGCCTTTTAATATTTTTTAATGTGACAGACTACTAACATTTATTGTTTATTAATAATTATAATAACATGCAACATATAAGATCATAAATATAATAAATAATTTATTCTTAATATTTAACATGTGTTTCATTGAATATTATACTATTTTTCTAACTTGCAGAAATTTGATATAGTAAAAAATAGTGGTACTAATATAAACAGTTGTCACTAAGGATCATTATTAAAGTTAATGAGGAAATACACCTAAGGTATGAATGAATGGTCTATACGAAGGTACAGATATGCTGGAGTAAGAGTATTATATATAAAATATAATATTGTATGTTATATTATATATACATATACATGTATATATGCTGGAGTAAATTAATATTATAGTATGCGTTTTTCTCCTCAAGGCATTTTGAAAAGGTAAATTTTTGCCAATATGTCCCTGTCAAATTTAGGAAGTGTGCAGGAAGAGGAAAGGCAGTAGCCCTCTGCAGTAATATTCTATTAGGTGAATACCATGTCAGCTATTAGACCATTTGGTGTAAAGTTTGAAATAGTGAACACAGACTAAGGAACAGAGGCATGTAGGCAAATTGATTGTAAAGTTAAGAGTATACAAGAGTGCTTGTATTCTAGAAGTGTGCATGGCCTATACCCATTTTGGAAACATAAATAATGTCATTTGAATGTGTGGTGTAACTTCGCTTGCCATGTATGAGTCCACACTTCTATGGCCTTTGGGTAGGATGGCAAGATGCAAGTTTTTTGCTAAGGTAATGCTTCCTTTCAGTCCACTAAATCTTCCTATGCTAGGTATCTTTATTTATGACATGGTCTCTCAGTTCCACTATGACCGTACCCTAGGACTATCATAATTTCATTTATGGAACAAAATAACATGAAAACTTTCTGTTTTGGAACTAAAGGAGAGTAGTTACTCCTTTGAATTTGGGAGCACTCTGTTTAGATGAAAAGCTCCAGGTTATTCTCTTAAACTTTAGCGATAGTTTTCTATGCCAACTCCATTTTTCTTACTTTTTACTACCGACTGTAGTTTTAGGATCTCCAAGGATCAACATACAAATAAAATTTTATAGAATTGCCATATTATGACGTTTCTATTTTCAGCTTCAACCTAGTATCTTCCATTTTGGGATTTTTCACCTTATTAAAGTTTCTTTAATAAAAGTAGCATCTCTTATGTATCACCTAGTACCAAAGTTTCTTCAACCTCACTATTTCCAGCATACTTAATGGAAGTTTGCAATTTAGAAGAAAATTGTAATATGGAGTTTTAAAATCGAGAATTAGATGTTACATGGTGGGAGGGGAAATAAAAAGGTGTTTTGATGACAGATTTAGCAGCCTCTCTGCCTCAAGCATCTAAAAAAAGAAAACACTTTGGGCCAATTCATCCTTGCGTTCACATGGAAGAAAAAAGTACCTAAAAAGCCCCCAGTCTATTTCCTAGTTCTGAGGATAGGGAAGTCTATATGTGGCACCAAGGTGTAAACATAGTGATATGCTCATAGACAGAGTGCTCATAGACAGAGTTGAATACAGCAGGCAAAATTGCTGTGTTGTATAGCACATCCACATTAAAGCCATGGTATGGCTACCATTTACCTTTGTATTTGTTATCAAAGGTTTTGTTTGCTTTTTAGTACAGATGAACCAGCAGGATTATTCACCAACTCCTTTCTTTTTATGGAAATATTTGCATTCTTAGTTTTTTTAAATAGGTATTCCTTGGACAACCTGGCAGTATATATAAAATTTTCTTTTTGGTCCAAGTAAAACCCAAGAGAAAAATTGAGTTCCTACTATAAGTGACTAGGGATGGTTCACCAAATTAAGTAGGCAAAACTAAATATTACAAAAAGCCAAGTTATTGGTATTTCTTAAATTTCAGTGTTTTAAAAACTGTCTTCATCATTAAAAAATTACTATTTAAGATTTTTGTGAAAAGGTCATTTAGTTGCATTGATTTTAGGAACTCTCTTCCCAGTTATAAATGATCTCACCACAAGGTTAGTTTCTCTCATTCCCTGGAGTGCCATAGTTGACTTTCCCTCCCATAAAATCCCACTATCTACTGTGAGCTAGTTATGGTACATTCCAAGAACCCAGTCTTAGAGTAAATTACCGTCTTAGTTCCATTTTCATGAATATATCATGAAATATCATGTACAGAATGAAGCTCTAAAGTTACTAGATGCCATAATATTTTTCTTTTTTCCCCTTGCTGAATTTTTAATATATTTTTATTGTAAAAATACTATACAGAGGTTACAGTTACATAGTAAGGTAATGAGTACATATCCTACGGAGCATTGTTTCTTCCTCCTTTGTTTTTCCCCTACCATTCCTCCTCTCCCCACATCCCAACTCATCCCTGCCCACCTGCCCCAGGAGTTGTAGAGTTTGTTTTCAACATAGTGTCGCGTACATCTCATTGTTACTATGGGTCTACGTATATCCTTATTTCAGCATTTTGTTATTTCCCTTCCCCTCCTCAAATTAGAAAAATGTATATACAAGATTCAGTGAGCCGGAATCAAATACAGTGAAAACAGGGTAGTTATACCATGGGGGAAGAACATACAAAAGAAACAAAAAATCACATCGTACATTATAAATATATTAAAAACAACAGCAAGAAAGGTAAAACCTCTTGTGTCTCTATCATGGTGTTCATTTTGCTTAGCATCATCTTATATGGTCATATTTACATAGCTTTTGACCTTTTCTGCTTGCCTAGATGTATACTAGTTATTGCAAATAAGGGAAACCATGGGACCTATGATTCTTTGGGCGTGGGTAACTTCCCTTAATATGATTTTTTCCAAGTCTTTCCATTTCTGAACAAATGGGGCAGTGTCATTCTTTCTGATGGGTGCATAGAATTCATCTATCTATCTATCTATTTATCTATTTATCTATCTACTATCTATCTGTCTGTCTGTCTGTCTGTCTGTCTGTCTGTCTGTCTGTCTGTCTGTCTGTCTATCTATCTATCTATCTCACATTTTCTTGATCCATTCATCTACTGAGGGGCATCTGGGTTGGTTCCATATCTTAGCTATGGTAAATAATGCTGCAATAAACATAGTTGTGCTGGTAGCTTTAGTGTGGTCTTGTTTGTAAACATCTGGGTAAATGCCCAAAAGTGGGATTGCTAGGTCATAGGGGAGCTCTATGTGGAGTCTTTTGAGGAACCTCCATAGTGCTTTCCAAAGTGGTTGAACAAACTTGTGTTCCCACCACCAATGCAGTAGGGTTCCCTTTTAGCCATATCCCCTCAGCATCTGTTGTTACTAGATTTCTTGATTTTAGTCATTCTAACTGGTGTAGGGTGGGATCTCAATGTTGTCTTGATTTGCATTTCTTTTTTGTTGTTGTTGTTGGTCATGGGAGTTGAACTCTGGGCTTGGGAGCTATCCCTCAGCTCTTCAGCGCAAGGTGCGCTCTCTATTGCTTGAACCACCGTGCCACTTCCAGTTTTCTGGTGTTTTATTGGAGATTAAAGTCTCATGGTTTTTTCTGCCCGGGCTGGCTTTGAACTGTGATCCTCATTACTCAGCCTCTTGAGTAGCTAGGATTACAGGCCTAAGCCACTGGTGCCCGGCTTGATTTGCATTTCTTTTATGGCTAGAGAAGTTGAGCATTTCTTCATGTGTCTATCCCTTGTGGAATTTTAAAAATTTTTATTTTATTGTAAAGATGCTGTTACAATTACATGAGTAAGGTAATGAGTCAATGCCTTATTTTTAAAAATGCCAATTGTTTCCCAAGGCCTCCAAATAGTTGGCATTGGCTAAATACTAAAGGTGATTGTTGACATTGATGTGGCCCATTGAGGACTTATTTTGGGGTTGTCCCATTGTCTATTTGATGGTATTCATGGCACTTTCCAGAGCAATATAATGGGTTATTTACTGAAATTGTTTCACTGTTCAGATGGTGATTTACATGCAGCCTTAATACTGCTTTGACAATCTAAAGCAGAAGTATTACCAGTGATATTAGGCAAGACAGTAGAATTAGGAATGAAATACAGAGTTTTTAAGCACTTCTTTTGCCAGTTTGTGTTTTAGAGAGGATGGTATTTCCATTTTATAATTCAAAAGTATCTGTAATGCTTACCTGAAAATCTCAAAGATTGGATTTAGTAAGACCACTTTTTCCTTGCCATTTTCTTAAATGGAATTAAAGCTACTCAGCTTGTATTTGAGGATAATTTATCAGAAGATAAGATGAAAAAATACTATATTTTCATAATCTAATGAAGATCAGAGCAAATGTATTCCACTTATGACAATATAACCTACAGACTGGTATATCAAAAATATAAAGTAGGGCTGGGAAGGTGGCTTAGTGGTAGAGTGCTTGCCTAAAAATCCAAAAAACAAAAAACAAAAATAAAAAGTAAAATGTCTTAGAAATAGAGCTCATTCATACGATGAATTGCAAAACAAACAATATTTACAAATTAGGAAGTGGTGTTGATGTGGTTGTAGCTGAGCAGATTCTGTTTGGATGTTTTTTAATGTCATGCATGTACATTTGAGATTCATTATTTGATACTAAATGAAGATAGCTATATTAGGAATGAGACCTAGCTGTGAGTTATCAAATCTCTTCTGTGCTAGTAAGATTGTCTTTATCAGGCTGGGCCCCAAATTGAGAGAATATAAGAAGAACTCATGAGCAGATAAAGAATATGTTGTAGAATGTTAGACAGTGTTTGAAGACTTACAAAATTTGAGATTCTGGGTTTTAATGCTTACTCAGCAGGAATTTTGATAATATGAACTGTATGATAAAATATGATAACATGAAATAGTTGATTTTAAAATCTGTATGGATTTAGGGAGATTAAGTAGGTGATAATGATTTTTTTCAAATGTAATGGTTTGAGTTATGTACTAGGTTATAAAAGCACTT